TTGTTGGACATCTAAAAGTCTCATTGTTCTTGCGACTCCGTTGCGTCAGTATAGTAAATATAACCTATCGGCAACCTGCGGCTCGCGAGCCACATGCGGCTCTTTGGCTGGGAAGCTGCGGCTCTTTAGATCCGAACACAAATATTATTTATTTTATAAAAAAAAATCATTTTAAAACTTTCTAAATCGATTAACAAAGATTTAGCACCACTTCTATCTCTCAGCCACATAGTCTTTGCTTGTACCCGCTTTTCACCCGCTCAGTCTGGACGAGGCTATTGAAGTACAAATTAGTGTTGTAACTTTGTAACTAAATGTTTAATTGTTTTATTTTTTTACTTGAATTATAAATAATTATTAATACCATAAATATGTTTAATTTTTTATGAAAAAAACTACTCATATATGAATAAATAAATATTATTTTGTCTTATAAATAAACAGATTAAAATTACTTTATTTATGCAAGTACTATTTATTGTGATTGAATCACCATGATTGACCGAAAGTAGTTGATTCCGTGCATCGGGGGGCACGTTAAGCCGTCGGTCCTGCGCCTGATCTCTCACCGGTCGTGTCGGTCAACCGTCCCATCGGATATAGAGAGTGGAAGGAAGAGAGAGTGAACTCTAAGAATGCGAAACCTAGTTGGTCACAATAAGCAAAGTCCTGCGCAGTAAGTCGATGTCAGTGAGAGTAGGACTACATTACTTATTTATTGTAGACATAAAAACATTTTGTGGCTCTTTAAAAACTTAAAAATGTTGTAAATTGTAACTTTTGGCTCTTTTGACTCAAAAGGTTGCCGAGCTCTGTAATAGAATACCTTGCAACGACATTGAGTCTAGCAAATATACTATTTTATTTTGGCAATACTCGAAAAGTCAGTCAGTGAAATAGTAGTATCAGTACAGTAATTTGATATTATGAATAGTCAGTAGTTTTAAAAATTTCTTACTTTAGTTTGAAGTTGTTTTCTTTACTCACAAGTCTTGTGCTGTTATGCATAATAATTGGTAACAAAACTACAAAAAATCAGTTTGAGGGCTTACTCTATAATAAAAAACACTGGTACAACTGCGAAGTATAAATATTGTCCCAAAAAATTATAAATAAAAGCAGCATATTAATATAAAGCATCCTAACGAATTAAATCATGTCTGTTTTTAGTAAGTTTTTGTTTTAGAGATAATTGTAGAAGTTTTGAATTATTGAGTTATTTTATTAAATAATAAAACAATAGAATTTTTTAAATCAGCTATTTTAGTATGAAAATTGAATTTTGAAAAATCATTTAATTAAAATATCAATAAGTATAAAAATTGAATGTTAACTCTTTCAAATTCACATCTCTATACTCCATTCATTATAGTATTAGACATAAGTTAAATAAGGTTCTTTTTATGGTATACTTTGTGACAAAATGTTAACAATCATGTTACTCTTAAGACTGACGGCTTATTTGCTACATATCCACTTAAATACCAGCTGCTATACTTAACAGTTGTCGATTAAGCCATCTGTTAAACAAAATTATGAGTATTTGACTAATTTAAAAGATTTAATAACTCTTACAATAAAAAGTGTTCATCTTAAAGAACCTAGAGAAGCAGGGTTGGATAGTCTCGGCACGATTCTCAAGTCAAACGTTTCGGTAGTACAACTTTTTAATTTTGTCAGATTATGATGTATTCATAATAGTCAAAATATGTAATCTGGGATTCTCATTAATTGTGAATGTTATTGCCTTTCTTATTGTTTTACCGTAGGTATTCCGTGATTGAGTTTTTATTGTATTATTTTTGTTCTCTTATACATTTTTTTTAGTTGTTATCTTTTTGTAGTTAAGTTTTGCTAAATATGGACGATTCCGGTGCAGGTTCGAATGGCCTACAACAATAACCTCTTACATATCAGGAAGTTTTTCCAAAATCTTATTCAAAAATCTAATAATATCTGAATAAATGTTATAAAAGTAATAATAAAAATTTCATTTTGTTTACCTTTCTTATCTATCTAAATTCTATTCTAATTATATATTTGCAATTAGAATTTTATCAAAACGACAGATGCATAGTTATAGTTCCATATTAGCTTGGGACTAAAAGATGAATTTAGAAAATTCTAGCCTCATCGCAAAAGAAAATGGAAAATTGCCCAACTCTTTCAAACGTTACCTAACGATCAAAGTGTCAACAAAACTATTATATATATTTTTAAAATTCATCTTGAAAATAAAATGTTCTGCACTGCTGCTTCTGTGACCCTCTTTTTTCTAATGTTATAATGAATGGAGTATAAATAATAAATTATGACCACTGAGTATCAACTTTTTGACCTGCTAAAATAAACTTTTGGTAGAGTCGCCATCTAGTGAGATGCTTTTTTAGTGCTTTCTCTTTTTTTTTAATACTTTCTCATTAAGAATCAGAATTATCTTGTAAAAAATCATTAATTAAAAAATTTCTCTTGTCCATTGATACTTGGTTTATGTTACTCGGTTACTCGGTCATTGATACTACTTGTTAGTTGGTAGCTCGGTCATTGATAGTACACGTTACTCGGCTTAAAACAAATCGGTTCTAAAAGTACTTGGTATACAAAGAAAAATATCGACTTAGTACTTGTATTTACTCCTATCGTGCATCCCTAGTCACTATGAAAAGAAATTTTTGTCAGTTGAATCAACGGACTAGTTAAATCAACCGTTAACGTAGAATCAACGCGTCGACGGTTGACAGTTCTTTGGTTAACTAGTTGAAAAATCGACGCCTAACGAAGAACCCACCGTTCGTCTATCAACATGTTATGAAACTGCAACGCATCATTTTCCATTCATAAAGATTCGATGTAACTTTGAATGCTGAAATAATTTAAACTCTAAAGTCAATGGCAGTAAGTAAATATTTCAATACGCGCGTTTAATACATAGGCCTTGTATATATGAATGTCAAATGTGATTGTTGTTTACATTTGTTTCTAATAGATGGTGTTATACAGTTCTTGTATTTATCTACACGGCGGTGTTAAGAATTTTACTAATTAGTATAGGTCAACTATTGTTGTAATACAAGATTTTTTTTTCTTAGTTTTTTGCATATACTCGTCCAATTGTGGGTTTTATTAGGGTTTCCTTGGGATTTTTTTTGTCTGAATAATCTATCTAATCTTTCTTTCTCTGAAAGAACGTTTATAGATTTTTTTTATTTTAGAGAATTTAATTCACTCTGGGCAACTGTTATATGAATAATTTTGAATATTAAGATTAATAATTTTATTTTGAACCAAAACAAACAAAACCTAAAGTTCAGTATATTCTATAATATTATGTTAAAATAGTAAAACATATCACTATAAACGAAAAATAATATTTATTGATAAATATAATAAAATATTTATTAAAGATTTCTAGTTAGATTATTAAAAAACATGAAACCGTAAATTTCTTCTATTATACCTACACCTAGGTAACTACGATCTTACACAAAATAAATATTATATTATTTTTTATATCCATTAACGTGAAGTAGTTCGGTCAACTGCGAAAGTCTATATAGTCCATCCAATAAGGTTAATATTTGTACGTTGGTTGTAGTTCATAAATAAACGCACACTCCCATCCGTCGACGTCCATCCTGTCGACGTAGTTGCATACGTTAACTATAGTTGATAATTCAACTAGTCGAATTTTCAATGATCAGATGAAGAGCGTTACGTTCGTTGATCAACGTACACCTAGACTACAACGCTTTAGTTTTGTCGTATAATACAATAAAACAACCAGTTAAAAAGTCGGCGGCTAAAAGAAGAACGCACCGTTCATCTATAAACATGTTACGAAACTGCAACGCATAACTTTATCTGTATAATACAATGGAATGCGGTTGTTTCCATTATTAAAATTTCATGTAACTTTGACAGCTGAAATAATTTACACTCTAAAGTCAAAGGAAGTAAGTAGATATTTGAACACGCGTATCTAATACATAGGCCTTGTTTAAATACATGTTAGACTTTGTTTGTTTACGTTAGTCCCCGATAGATGGTGTTATACAATTTTTGACATGGCGGTGTTAAGAATTTTACTACTTAGTATAAGTTAACTTTTTCTACTATAATCAATTTTTATTGTCTTTTTTGCATCCGAATTATATAGTGATTCATTAATTTATTATTTTAATTAATTATTAATTAAATTAATTATCCTATTACAGAAAAATTTCATAATATTTATTTTAACTGTGTGTTTAAAAAACGGCTAAGTACGAGTTGGACTCGCACACGAAGAGATCCGTACATACTCATTATAAAACGGCAAAAAAAAACATTGTATTTGTACGGGAGCCAACTTGAGTATTTATTTTATTTTAATTTAACTGTTTATTTTTAAAGTGAAGACGTATATAGGACAAATCTTCGGTAAATATTTCAAGGGTCATCTCGCTGCAAGTATCGATATCGAGCAAAAACATTATTTTATTCAATAAAAGCCAATATTTATTCTGTTTTTAGTATTTGTTCATTATTGTCAAAATAAATGAATCTTATGTGAAAATTTTAACTATCTATCTATCGATCAAGGTTCATGAGATACAGCCTGGTGACAGACAGACGGACGGACAGCGAAGACTTAATAATACGGTTTCGTTTAAATTACAAAACCCAAAACAATATCTAATTAGAATACTAGCGCTGTCTTTCGACAATAAAAAATCATGGAACTGTTAAGCCATCCATCCTTACCTTCATAACCATCATAACCACAGATGTACAAAATAAAACCATAACCTACCTGACAATAGATATTCTTACGTTAACACGAAAAAAAAACCATAACCAGGTACAGATGATCAACAATGTTTACTTTTCAATATTGATATACGGTTCAATAAAACAATTTAAACCGTTAAACTTCGTCCAAAGTTCATACCCGTTGACGTAGTTCTATATGTCAACTATAGTTAAAATCAACTAGTTGATCGACTAGTCGATCAAGGTCCATGAACGGCTTCGTTTCGTCGACGGAAAATTTGTCAACGCAATTTCGCTACAGGTCAGACATCAAGAAAAGAAACGTAAGTAATATTAATTTCTAATAAGATCTTTTAAACTATTTTAGAACTTTTACATTAACCTTGACTTTTCTTAGGTCAGTAAAGAAAGGCGGGTATTTAAGATAAATAATTTATAATTGATAATTCTAACGGTTTGACTTTAAGCACATTAGATTATCACAACAAAATGTGTTTTGTCATTGAAATTAAGTTTTAAACAATATAAACGTGATTTTACTAAAACTAATAAGAAAATTTCTCTACTCTTTGAGTTACAGTTTGAAACTTAAATTCTATATAAATTTGTTTATTACAAATAATAGCTGAATTCTCCATTTACTTGATATTTATATTCACACTCAGTATTAATCAATAGTTAGTATTACATTATGTAAAAGTGTTGTATTACTTCAATAAAATTTCAACCTTAATTTGTTGAGGGTAGATTTCAAATTCTGGTTGGTAAATTTAATATATTAACAGTGTCTAATGTGCCTGTCTACTTTATGCTTCATTTTGAAAGAAAAGATAAAAGAAACACTTTTAAATATACAAGTTAATGTCGGTGAAATTAAGTTTGCAGTTTTTTTTTATATATACATTTTATTGTGGTCTGTCACAATTTGATATTCTATATCTGCTATCAAATCCTGTGACTTGGCCACAAACTCTGTGGAAGTTATTCATATGCACAAGTCCAAAGGGGACTTTGTTTCAATCTGGAAAACACAATTCTGGGCTTTGAGCACTCTGTTGTAAGTTCATTTTTATGATATTATAAGCTATCTCTGGTTTCCTGCTTCAGAGTTGAGATGTTTAACTCTTGGTGTAGTCTTTCATTAGTTATCTGCTATAGTCCACAGATCTTTTGATTGAAATCTCACTAATATATCTTGATTTGAGTTCAGAGCTGTACCCCATAGCTGTATTCCTTATGTCCGAGTTGGTTTTATGATGCGTTATAAATAAGTAATTAATTTTCCAGTAACAACTTTGATGTTCTGCATATCGTACAATAATATTTCATGTTGGCTAGATAACTTGTCTGTTTGACCAGCAACAACGTATGAATGATTCATACAACTGCGATTCGCACAAATATTCATTTGGAATATAGTAGGATGTGATTCTGTTTCATTAAATTTTAAGTGGGTAATCTGTGTGTCATGTGAAGCAAGAAAACATATTTATTTTTCCAAAATATTAGTTTTCTGGCTTTTTTTTAAACTAACACAAACACTTAACAGTATTATTTCAAACAGAGTAGAATACCTACCCTATTTTATTTTTATAATTTGTTATGGTTGGTATTCTGGAAAAATGAATGATCTGGACAACCGAGTTTTCCTGTAATATCTCCTTTTTTGCATAAAAAAAGTTACTATAGTTTGAAATATTAATGTGTGCGATTTAATGCATACAATCAAGTAACTGGTTTGGACCTTTGGAAAAGCTGTTCATTGATATTTCTGGCATAATTTTTATTGATAAACTTTTTTGTGTCACCTGTATGATTTGGAATAAAAAATATAATTATGTAGCAATAATAATCACACAGTTCGAGCGTATTGTCGACATTTGATTACTTGAAAAATTAACTAAATTTTTGTCTCTTGGATAACTGTGAATAAAAATAATATTTTAATTTAGTTTTATTATTATATTTATAGCTGGATCAGTTTGCATTCACAATGCTATATATACTGAAACATATTCTTAATAAAAAATAATAGAAGATTTTACAAATAGTGCGGGACATTGGAAATTTGTATGAAATGTGATTTTATGTCCACAAACTAACCAATATTTTGCACAAAAAAAATGCATTATTTATAGACATTCCAACTCTTTACTATTTAAGTAAGAGATTATGCAACATACTAAACCGTTAGGTACATTGCCAGGTGTAACCGGAGAATTACTTCTTATTAATTTTTTATGTGTACCAGTGACATAATACTGGCAACATATTTAATAAAATTTAATACGTCGGATGTAAGTTACCACTTGAAAAATATATAGAAAATATATATATAGAAAAGCTAAAAAAAAATCACATATACGAGGGTGGTTTGGTGGTACTGCTAGATTTGAGGGTAGTATGTAAACTAATTTATTGTCATTCGACAGCTCGATTCTTTATTTAATCTTATGTTATGTGCCATTGTATTGAGACAAGGAGAGAATATGTAGAAAAATAAGACATGTTTTTTTCTTTGTTTTCTTGGTCAGATCGAGAACTTAGAGGGTAAAAAAAATAAATTTTTTTTCAAAATTTTATTCTACCACTTTCTCGTCGTGATTAACATGTATACTCATGCTAAATCACACCTTTCTAATACCAATGGTTTTCGAGCTGAACCGTGGAACGACGGACAAACAGACTATCATGACGAAACATTAAGGTTCCTAGTTGATTACGGAAAATTGAAAATGAAAGTAACTTTCATCACACAAAAAACAATTCATTTTCGTGCACTTAACCAATATAACATATGCATTTAACATTAGCGACAACTATTGTACTGATTTTAATCATTTAAAACAATATTTAATCCTGAGTAAATAACTTAAATAATTTAATAATGGATTTGGAAAAAGATGACATGGAATAAAATGACAGTGACATATTGAATTATAAACAAAGGTTGCTATGGTCCCGCTTTAATGCCCTATAAGAACGTATACTTCCATTTTCATCCTTTTATGTACTTTTTTCGGGATAAGATGTTAAACATTTATGCTGTCACAGACTTTCTTTTAGATAAATAAATAAAAATATAGCACAGAGGTTTAATAGCATGAGTTCATATGACGTCTCGGGCCTTTATTTTTTTTTTCATTTTTATATACTCTTCACTCTTTTTCAAAATATGAATAAATTTTTCCCTCCAAAAAACTACGTCGTTTTCTTTGTAATTCAGACTTATATTTACTGCGAGAGCCGCGTCGTCTACAGGGATCAATTTCGTTATACATGATTTTTGGGTAACTTTGGGTAACCGTTGACGCAGCGCACGAAAAAAAAGCTCTTAAACTATACATTTTTCTCCCTTTTTGCATTATTTTTCATTGCTGCTCCACTCCCAATTAATCAAAGCGTGATGTTATATAGCCTAATTCCTAGATAAATGGACTATTCATCACAAAACAAATAAGTCAATACATGGTAATGTTATTTTTCTATTTTAAAGTAGTTTCAAGTAATCAAAGTACTGTTCTTACTTTTATAAAGTTTTAAGTGTATCTAATCTATTGTAATCTGCGTAATTTTCGTAAAAAGGTCTCAAAAACTTTTTGAATCATTTTTTTTGTGGTCTCAGTTTTAGTGAAGAGTAATTAAAAAAGTTTGTAAACTAGTATTTGAGGGTTGGAAATTCGGCAAATAAATTTGTTGATGGATCCCCAATGTTATATATATCTTTGTAAAATAATAATAATAATGTTGCATGCGGTATTTACCTGTAATTGTTTGATATATTACTTCTTGTGAGCTAAATCAAGTTATTAAATTTTGGAAAATAAATGAAATGAAAATATCTTTATTCAAGTAGGCTATTACAAGCACTTTTGAATCGTCCAAAAAACTTTTTTCCCCTACCACTTGTTCAGGACGTCTTTTAGCTGACAAGTAGAACAAGCGAAAGAAACTTACCAGCTTTTTATCATAAGTAATGACATTTACATAAATCATGTCATTACCAAAATAATACGTATTATCACAATAGTAAATACAACTTTCAAAGTCTGTAGGACATAGGTTGAACATATAATTAGAACAAAGCGAAGGCTATTAATTCCATGCATTGCGATCCTTAAAATAATCATCAACTTTATAATAGCCTTTACTCATAAGTATTTTCTTTACATGAATTTGAAATTTATTTACGGGTAGGTCAATTACATTTTGTGAAACTTTATTGAACATAGCAATACATTTACCCAGAAATGATCCTCTGGTTTTTTGAAGTCTGAAGCTTGGAACGGCATAAAAACAAGTTATTGTATGTTATATATAATGTATTAAATTTTGGAAAGTAAATTCGAATCGGTAGCCTAATAGTGTAATTTTAAAATATATCACAATCACTTGCAATTTGACATTTGAAAGATATTCACGAACTTCACGCTACAAATATTTGGCATGTGATAACGATTGGGTACGCGAGGATTTTTTCAGAGATATTGAATTAAGTATAAGTTACAAATATCTTTGAATGTTAGTGGGAAATGTCAAACGAATAATAATAATAATAAATGTTTATTTGCAGGAATATGGTACACATGATGTTACACTGTTATTAACAATAGTTTCTCATATTATACAGTATATGAACAGTGTGCAAATATTTTTATTTTTAAATGTCATTACATAAAAACGGAGAATAATGTTTCAGTTAAGACGATGTCAATAACTAATAATTAACCATTCAATCATAATAATCCATTTACAATTATCATTACAAATGTCAAATTAAATGTCATCTAAATTTAAATTTAATTACCAATTTTATCCATTAAGAAGTCATTAATATTATAATACAATTTATTTATTAAACATTCATGCAGATGTTTTTGGAATTTCGTCAAAGTCATGTCAGTGAGGTGTTTTGGCAGCTTATTATAAATAAAATAAATAATTAATTGTCTATGACATTTATATCATTCAAATCATCACTCGTTCCAAATGTGATTGTGACTTTAAATGTTACATAATTCCACAAATTACTATCATATCACGTTTGAAATGGATTGTGATAGATTTAAAGTTCAAAACAAACTCTTAAGTGTTAATATAATTTTTATTTTGACAGTTGTGTTTTTTTTTTGTAGAATAATGTCTGACCCGCAACCCAATCAGCTCGTCACATGTCCTTATAACAAGGCTCACCAGGTGGAACACTATAGGATGCACATTCATCTACAGAAGTGTAGGAAGCAGCATCCGAACTGCAACAAGAGCACGTGCCCGATTGATTCAACGCATATCGTAAACGATGTAGAACTGGACGTGAGTATATTTCATTTTATTTTTAAAATTATTCATTCGTTTCTAGACCAATAAGAAACAACGTGTAAAAATCGGTACATTTGAAAGCATTGATATGCCCATAATTTGTGGTGTGGCGCACGGCAGTGTGGGCCAGAGTCTCTTTCTTGTTTATATAAACGAGCTTTGTGATAAGCCGAGTAATGCTACTATATTTTCCTATGCAGATGACACTGCATTAATATTCAGGGGTGAGGTGAGAATAAAAAAAGTTGCTCAAAGTGCACTAACGAATATAAAAAATTGGCGACCTAACTCAAAATCTAAATTTGTAGCTTACTCAATTGCAAACAACTCAAAACCAGACTCTTATTACGTAAAAGTTCACACTTGCAATCAAAATAACCCTTTTCCCCCACGTAATAGGGTAGGATGGGACGACTGGGTAAAAAAAGAAATTCTATTTTATTAAGTTAAATAATAGAAAAATATTAGATATGTTTTTTTTTATACTTCAATTTAACAATAAGTAGCTTAAATAACAGGCATTGAAATTGAGGAGTGGGGGCTCAATTTCAATGCCTGTTATTTAAGCTACTAGTTAGGACACAGTTTTACAGAAAATGTACCAAAGCGTGATATTTTAACTCAATTTATAGACGTAAATTAATGATTACGTTAAAAATAAAAAAATGCGTGTAATATTTTTCAACAATCTACCTGACGGACGAACGAATAAAAATTATCCCTATTACTTATTAATGGAAAGGGTGAACCATATTAAGTATCTTGGCATACAACTCGATAGCACTTTGAACACACACACACACACACACACACACACGCACGCACGCACGCACGCACGCAAGCACACCTGTCTCAGATATTCTATCCCCCTTATATATTTTCGAAACTCATTAAAGCGTTTTCTTGAGTTTTAAGCGTTTAAGTTTGAAGTCGGTTCTTTTTTTAAGTTTTTATTTCATGTTTTTTAGTGATATTGATATTTTTTATATAATAAGTAACACTAAAAATACTTTTCTGAATATCGCGTCACAACCGTGTTAAAGTGCGAACCTCCATTTTTTAGTCGGTTAATATGCTTAAAACCTTCTCCTAAGTCTAAAAAATACTATGCTGAAAATCGAAGCAAGATCGGTTCAGCCAAACGCGATATAATCGCGCTCAAACTTGAAAACCGCCTTCTTTATGAAAGCTGTTAAAAAATCATATTGCTACGGACGGCGGCCACAGAAACATCTCCCCGCGACCGCACCGTGGAAGGGGCAATGATAGCGAATGAAATTAATAGGCTAACTAACGCGTTATAATAGTAGCTAGTTGCGATCGATCAAATACCGCATAAGAGTGGCAGTATAAATTATGTTCTACACGGTACGTGATTCACCAGGTACAGACATGTACCTGTGCCTTTATCCCGCCCTCTACGACACGGGGTAATTAGAGCCGAGGTCCGAGTCTCTAGAGGCGCCCTCTAATCATCCCGACCCCCAGCATCGTACACCAGAGTCCAGGGCGACTCTACGGCCGAGTGGAGACACATCCTCGTGGGGTGATGCCCTCCTTGTAGCCTCGAGGATGATCGTCATCTCGGCTTGAGGTCCTAAGTATCTTGCCGTCCCTTAGTCCGGTAACACTGTTAAGGCCAACAGTAAGCCTTCATAAAAAAAAATGTAATCATGCCAGCGAACGTTTTCGTACTCTGTAAATACTGAACTCTGAGATAGAACATAAGAAAGTAAATAAATGTATCGAAAATCTCCGACTGTTGATTGCAGCTCGGTGGCGTAGAGGATCGTTGTTGTTAAGCAACTTTCGCAAGGGTCGGTCACAGGATGGGTGACCAAAAAATTATTATCTCGAGCTACTCCGTGCTTCGGAAGGCACGTTAAGCCGTTGGTCCCGGCTGCATTTGCAGTCGTTAATACCCTCCAATCCGCATTGGGCCAGCGTGGAGGTTCATGACCCATCCTCCTTAACCATCCATAAGGAAGGCCTGAGCCCCTGCAGTGGGGATGTAAAAGGGCTGATGATGATGATGATGATTGCATCCCAACACTTATTTTCCTGCATTACTTTCAGTATCACATCACCGTGTGCCCCAAGAGACATCTGTTGGACACCCAGATGTATGTAGTGGACGACGAACAGAGGCCGCCAGTGGAAGTTCAGCCGTTACCGTCGATTTCACAAGCGCAAGAAGAAAATTGGGATGACGTACGTATAAAGAACTAGATTTCCGCCGGCGGCTTCGCCCGCGGGTCCCTAGGGAACTGTTTATTTGGACATCGATTCATACAAATTGTATAAGTAAACAATGGTTACTAAAATAACGTTTTAATTCCCCATACAAACTTCCACATCCATTTTCATACCTTTATTTGCTGTTTTACGGGATAAAATATATCGTATATCCACCGCCTATGATGTAGCTTCGAGTAGGTGAAAGAACGACTCTAGCAAAAGTTGATTTTTGCAGGAAACGAATGGACTAAAGACGGTCATTTCCGTTCCTTTTAACTAACATATTAAAAAATACGAAAAAGTACAGATAGAATATGACTTGTTTATTGAGTTTTGATAATTTAAACATGAAGGATTATCATGGAGAAAACCGGAAGGGTTGTCATGGAGAATTGTCATCTAGTTTGATTTCAGGAACTAATGGTTTTTTTTTAATACTGCCTCATTAGAATTGTCAAAGCAAAAGTTAGACGCAAATGTCTTTAAAAATTATCGAGATATATCGAATGAAATTCATTGTAATTCGTTCTAAAAGCAAGATAGCATGCTCAATTTATATAATTCCATAATTCAGCCCACACGGGGCCGTCCATGAATTGTCACACAAAATTCATGATTTTTAACATCCCCCCCCCCCTCCTGTCACCTGTTTGTCTACACAAATTCTACTAAATATTGTTCTAATGTCACAGTTTGTCCCCCCCGTAATTTATGGGTGGCCCCCTTATGAGTAAACGATGGCTTGCGTTTAGTTTTTTTGACCAATTATAAAAGATTAGTTGTTAGTTTTCTACTCTTCGTTAGAGCTCGATGGCGTATTGGCAAGCGCATTCGATACGGTTATCAAGCAACTTTCGCAATGGCCGGTCATAGGATGGGTGACCAAATATTTATTCTATCGATTTCCTCCGTGCTTTGGAAGGCACATTACACTGTTAGTCCCGGCTGTATTTCCAGTCGTTAATACCCACCAGACTGCACTAGTCCCGCGTGGTGGGCTATGGCCCATTCTCCCTATTCTATTCCATCCATAGTGAAGGCCTGAGCCCCAGCAAGGCTGGTGATGATGAATTATTATTTTTTTCTACTTAAAACCTTTGTTATAGGAGGTTAGCACGTCCTATACACCAGATCCTTCGAAGAAAGGTTCACATATAATAAAAAAAGTCAAAGGCGCCACGCCCTCCGAGAGGAGAAAAGCTCGCATGGAAGGCGTAAGGACTTACAGACCACCGGAGGATTCTTAAATTAATGTAAATATAATGTATTTAATATACATGCGAGCAAAAAAATGGGAACACATTATCTGGAGATTTTTTGAATACTATAAAAGTAAGTAAATACTCTTAAATTATAAATAAATATTGACCTTATTATTTCATTTAAAGTCGCTCATTTCCACATTATAAAACATCTTGCAAATAACAATAACAGCTACATATTATACCTTTACCTTAACTGGTATTAAATTATTAAACGTTAAGGTACAAAGAATATTCAGGCAAAACCGCTACTAGGTTATTTCAGTAAGAATCTAATATTTATCTGTTTATTTACAGAAATGTGTTACATTTTATTTGCTCGCCAGTTTACAATTATTATATAAACGAAGACGCCATTTTGTTAATGTTGAAATTTATCGACGTTAAATCGAAATAAAGTTTAAAGCGGACTCTTCATATATTCACAAATGAAGCGAGAAATATTGACACTTCATATTATTTTTTTAATATCAATACAGGGTTAAAACACAAACCATATTTAAGGATTATATGGGCGACATGATAAACTACTTTTTTTTTCTTTAGGAGTTTTGATAATTCGTTATATATTTTAATTTCATATATTTTAGAATTTAATTAAATTCACTTTAGGTAGATTCAATTGAGATGCGACTGTAACTTAAACATTATCAGAGCTATTAATAAACAAGGTTTAGCGTCAGAGTAAATTAACGCTAAAATTCCAATTTTAGATTTTATTATTAGACCAAACTCATATTACACAGAGAATAAGCAAACCTACTACCTTCTAGGAGTATATATTACCCACGTAGAACCTCGCACTCGGTAAACCTTTGCCAAGTCTCTGTATAATAATATGAATTTTGACTAATACTAAGTGCAGTCTCAGCGTAAATTTACTCCGACTCAAAACCTTGTTTATTAATAACAATAGCAGAATTGGCAACCATAGTTAAAATACATATATAAAAAAATCTTTTATAAATAACCCTATATATGAAAATAAAATTACATCATAAAAATGTTAAGACCACGTCACAGGACATAGCCGTACAAGATGTCCCTTAACTGTCAATTAAAGTTTGGAAGTATTTTTGAGTTAAGTATAAAACTATTTATAAGTGTGCTTAAAGCAAAATGTCTGCGATCGATTTTGGACTTAAAAGTCATTGTATAAGGTTTAGATTTAATAAAATTACCTATAGCTCTTGTTGATTTTATTTGTTTAAAATAATATATGCAATATTATTATATGCCAGGACTTCGTGGGATATATTAGTTAGGTATACTGAACAACTTTTACTATGGGAGCAACACTGAATTCATGAAAAAATGCGTATTACAATTTTATATGAAACAGCTGATTGGTTTTTCGTGAATTCAGCGTTGCTGCCATAGTAAAAGTTGTTCAGTATGCTTAACTTATTCATTCCACGAAGTTCTGGCACATAATATTACACCTTATATGTCGAACATGATAATCAACATATTAAGAGTATTTTCTTCTGTAAGTCAAAAATATCTTTATTCAAATAAACTTACTAAAAGTACTATTGAATCGTCCGACGTTCCTTTCCCCTACTACTCGTTCTGGACGTCTTTTGGCTAATAAGAAGAACGCGCCAGAAACTCGCCAGATCTAATACAATTAAGTAAAGTTTAAAGAGACAATGTAATTACCTAATCAATAAATACAATATTAAATAATTATGTGTAATAAATAAATGAAAAACGACCAAATAATTTATATAAATAAAATGTATAATGGTTAATAAAATTTTGTTAAGAAATTAAATCATAAAAATATCACAAATTAAGTTCATTTTCAACTTTCAAAGCCTGCGATGACTGTTTTTGAGAACACTTATGTTGATTGTCATTTATGACGTGGATGTAGTTACCAAACTGAAATTTATATATAGCTGACGCTAGATGGCGCTTTTTGTGATAATTTGATGTTAGTTTATCAATGGCATGCATAATGTGACCATTTTTTTCATGTGAAAAGGGGACGCCGACGGAATTTTTTAAATAGGAAAATATCATATTATATTTAATTTACAAGCTAAATACAAATAATGATTTGAAATGTGACTCATTAGATGTGGTATCTTACCCTCACTGTAAAATATGGTTACATTAGGCATGCATGCTCATTCGATAATATGTTTTGCGTCTTTTATTATACCTAATTTTAATGATTCAATCTGTGAATCCGGTTCAGTTTCTTATATACTTGCGCAAATGATAAATTATTCTGAAACTTACAAATGAAAGTAAATACATAGATTAGTAGAAATAAATTTCGTTTAATTCATTGATTATTTATAGACTAAGATTTAATTCAGCTATAGTATTAGCGTGAAACATATTTTAAGTGAATGTGGTTGTTGATATCGTTAAAAAATAAGAATATAAGTGTAATCACATTTCTTTGTATGGAAATTTGATATTTTGTTGTGAAAATTGTGCTTAACTCTGTAGTTAAAAAAATAATTTGAAAACAAGACACTGATTTTCTAGAAATCAGTTAAAATAAAATTGTGAAAGTCGCTTAAATGACTTGTTATGACAAAAATATTATACATAAATATCTTTATTCTACGGACAGGTAGATATGTGTAAACGTCTTGATTTTTTTTTCTCATTAATTTTAATTATTGATTTAATTTTGTACCTAATTCTAACATTGACTATGATTTTGTGAATTTTACGTCTTTATAAAATAAAATGTTTGATCGTAATGTTGGTTTCTATTTGTATTATTTACGAGCTGTTCTTTTACGCATAAATTGTAGCCCATGTTCACTGGAGTATGAAGTTTCAGAGCTGAAACACAGTTGAAAGTTTTAGTGCTCTATCTCTTTATAATATTAGTATAGATTTAAAGCTAAGGATTCTATGACATTAAGAGCTGGGGTTCATTCTGTCAGCGGTCATAGAAGTACTAAAAATTGTCTATCTTAGGCAGGTTAAGCAGCTGATTTTGGCTACTGCTGTAGTTAACACCCACCAATTTGGGTAATTAATCTTAAGCAAATATTTTCAATTAATAGACAAGATTATTAAGAACTGCTAATATCTAATAGTAATCTTATTAAACTATTCATATTATTTTTTATATACTATACAAATACCTGCAAACATACCTATATACCAGTCTAGAAATTCTTTAGTTTAGATAGAAGTAGACTTCCTTATGATATAAATATAGAAACATGTTTTTAAATCTATAAAATATGCTACAAAGACTTTCATCTCTGAAACTATGAAAAATATAGAAAAAGTAGTCAACATAGAGTATTTAATGAACATAAAATATACAATTTTGTACATAAACGCAATAGTATTAAAAAAAATTATCACTGAACCGCTTTTAAATATTCCTTGTCCATCTTTTCGAATTTCTCTTTCATGTCGTCCGGTACTTCAACGGTTGACAGATCATCAGCACCGACTTCTTCTTCTTTCTGGATCAGTATATCGACAACATTCTCACAAGCAAGTAATGCCTGTGGATCTTTCTCCCATTTATGATACTCTCTTAGAACATAATAAACGCCATTTTCTCTTAACATTTCCCTACCTGTGCGTTTAGTGCACAATTTGTTTAGAGTTTCTAATATCATCTTGCGAATATCAATGTCAGTTTCTCTACGTTTCTCTTTTGGTAAATATTGTAAATCTATTGGTAACTTATCCATTTCTTCATCTGGGTAATCTTCATTACCCATAATAGGGTTTAGTAAGTATGTCAACAGATCTAAGTTGTTGTTTAATAGAAAATCATGATACTCTGTGTCAAAAGACAAATTTCTTACAGTGCCAATGGCTCCTCCTTTACGTATACTTGATTGATCGTAATTGCAGAATGGTAATAGTTTAATAACAGGTACATGTGGGTTTTCTTCAGTTAGCCATTTTCTTATCCTATAACTACAGCTTAAGTTACTAAACATGGGTGCTAAATAATGTAAGTTGGAACCTCTTTTGTTGTAATCTATATTTACAAATGCATTAAGAATATCATTTAGATGAGGTATGAATGAGTCTAAACACACTTCCAGTTCGTCTTCGAGTCTCGTGATGTTGGATAGGATCATGCAGGCAGCATCTGCGTCCTTTTTATCTGGATTAAGCACATAACTCACTAGTAATTCGAGTACGTTTTTGAATCTGCTCGGTCTGTATTTAAGTAGTTCTGTAGCGCCGTTCACGTTAGCTGACACATTAACAAGCACTAAGAGAGCGTTCTTTGCTATCTCTTCAACTTTGTCACCGGTCAATTCGATTATATTCTGTATAACTTGTTCGTTTTTTAATAAAGTTTTGACACCTTCTTCGCTCGCCGATAATCCTACTAAATGCTCTACGGAAATGTGTTTCAAGTCTATTCTGGCTTCGGGCTTTAGAAATTCAATTATTTCATTAAGGGGATCTTTAGCCATTTTGTGATTTCTGTACGGATTCTATAAATTATTAAAAAGCATGTGCAAATTTGATGTAATGCAAAGTAGGTACTCCAACATACTCCAACTTTAGTTTTGACAGCTTACGCGTTTTTATTAATTATAGCAAAGGGTTTTTGCTCATTCATCCTAAATGAAGGAATATTCAAATGCTAATGTTGAACGTTTAATTGTTTTTCGAGTCCGTCATTTCATTGTATTGCGATGAAATCAACTCAGAGAATCTACAAAAAGGTGATTTATTTTACTTACTTTAATGATTCTACACCATTTCCATACAATCAAAAATCACAGCAACAATTTTTTTCTGTTCACCATCTCTACATAGTATTAAACAAAGTCGCTTTCTCTGTCCCTATGTATGATTAAATCTTTATAATTACGCAATGCATTTTGATGCAGTTTTTTCGTCAGTGCTGCCACTGTTATTTACTTTCAATGAGGAAGTATTTAAAAATATAAAGAAATTACAAAAATAGAAATCAGACCCCATAATTTACAAAACCGTACATGGATGGCAATATGACAAATAAATAATATATGATTAATAGATTTTATTTCTACAAAATGGTGAATTTTAATGTCGGGGAACCAAACTAAAATATTAAATGCTGCTAATAATTATCAAGATAACAAAACGTCTGATGATAGTGCAAAAACAAAACGCGAAAATCTTCTTAAGAAACGTTCTGGTCTACGCAGAAGTACTTTAATAATAAAACTATATCTTGGAAGTGTTTCATGAATTTTGCGCCGGGCAATAAAAGGGTCATCTATTTTAATGGATATTATCGTTTCCTGTACATTGCAATTAATTCTATTGCCTTTAAAGTACCATTAATACGCTTAATAATCGAATATAAATTCAAAATAAGATTGTATAGAATAGATTCCGTTCTCTTTAATTGAAAACCACACAATATATCAAAGGGTTGTAGTTTGGATGGTTTTTGAAAAATCGATCACATACATCAACGATGTCAGAAGCGATTCTCAATTAATCGCGAGTTTTTCAAACATGTTCTATAGAATATTATCTGTCGCCATTTACTGCTAATAATAAGTGAGATATGTGATGTAATGACGTGTACCGACTGAGCGAATGAACGTCAAATATATATTCAATATAAAATCTATATATAATATATTATATGAAATACGGTCTTTGAATACTTTCATAAATATTTATTTTATTCGTTCAAATTACGTATTGAATACTTGAGAAATAAAAAAATTGAAAGCTAAGATACCACAACCGATTTAAGAAGATTATTGCCAGTTCTGCAGTTGATCCGATGAAAGGTTAACGTATCGATTATTTTGTTCTAAATAATCGATTGGTTGATTTTATTTTGACATGCTTGTTTTCATCTATGAATGTTCTATGATGATGATGGTGGAATGATAGCGGATGATTGGTTTGGTTTGTTTGTTGTGTGTTCGTTCGTGGAGTTTGATATTTATGTTAATATTCAACTTGACAATTAAGCATGTTTCTTCGACTAACGTTGATATTTGCATTACTTTTGGATTCCGAATGGCAATCGATTCGGTTATAACAATGACAGTTCAATGTGTACATTGCCCTTATTTGTCACTTTCAGTTGTAATGATTTAATTAAAGGCAAAGGGATCTACTCCACACAGTTTAGTCATATGTTATAAATGTTTCTTCTATTATAAGTGTCTGGATCTTGTTAGATATGTAATTATTTTAATCTAGTTTATTAAACGGAGTAACCTGGTTACCATTTTTATTTATTTTAACGTCCATTCAACGAAAAAGCAAAGATGCAATATATAACCCCACAAAGTATTTTATGCCATATCTTTTTAATCCCAACTTTTAAAGGAAAAAGACGATTAGGATTTTGTTAGTTTAGCTTATACCTTCAAGTACACGTTTATTTCATTCATGAACGGGACTTTAAAAATTCAGGTCCAAAGCTATATGGGAGTTCTATGCCACTAGATGGCAGCACAAATTGTTGGATCTAACGTCAATAAACGTCAATAGGATATTTGACACTATCGAAAATAAGTTGCATTTTGTGGTTATCCTGATAGATAATAATCTAATAAAGCTTATTTCTTAACATCTGCAGAAAAAACATATTTAGATTTAGTAAAATAACGTAAACAAAATGAAATATTTTTTAGGAATTTATTCAACGACGAAAACGTCCTATAATTGGTCGTCGTCACACCAATCACGATTCTGTTTACTGGCCTGTGACGTCATCAGCTGTCATGTCAAAGTAGTGATAGAAAGATACATAAAATATCGATGCCTGTAGGTATCGAGTACTTTATAGTAATTTACTGATAACAGAATACATTGCCGCTTCTGCTGATAAGAAATACAGAAAGAAATAATTATTTACTAAGCTTTTTAAAAAATCCAAGAAATAAGGAAAACGCCAGCAATAAAAGTTGACCATGATGTCTTACTTGCTCTTCTCGCTCAGTTTGGATGTTCTTCCTCTGTGCTTGCTTGGTTCTCATCTAATCTTCGCGGGCGCCAGCAATCAGTACGGGTTGATCAATCGCTTTCCGATTGGGTTGACTTAATTGCTGGTGTGCCTCAAGGCGGCGTTCTTTCTCCACTTCTTTTTTCCTTATTTATAAACTTTCTCACATCTACTCTTTCAACTTCTTATCATCTGTACTCTGATGATTTGCAATTGTATGCTCAAGATATACTTGAGAATTTGGATAGGGTCATTTTGCAACTGAATCAAAATCTATTTCGAATTTGGGAGTGGTCTCAAAGTTTTGGAATTACTGTGAATCCTGTCAAATCCCAGGCTATTATTATTGGTAGTCCAAGGCTGATTTCGTTACTTAATATGAATACAACTCCGCCTTTGTTATATAATGGGGTGGTAATTCCTTATTCTTCAAACGTGAAAAACTTGGGTGTAGTCTTTGACCGTACTTTGTCTTGGGAGGGGAACTTGGATAGTGTCAGTAGACGAGTTAATGGCACTCTTGGGGCTTTGTACCGACTAAAAAATTTTCTTCCGTCCAGTACTAAGGTTGTCCTCGTACAAGCGCTTATTCATCCCCTCTTTGATTATGTTGATGTTTGTTTTTCTAACACGAACCAAATATTTCTAGACAGATTGGATCGTCTTCTGAATAATACTATACGCTTCGTTTTCGGTCTACGAAAATACGACCATATCACTGAATTTCGTAATCAACTGAAATGGTTGCCCATCCGTGAACGCAGGTTCTTGAGAATAGTATGTACTCTCTTCAAAATTCTTTACGATCCACATACTCCTGAGTATTTTAAATCTAGGATTCAATACTTAGGAGTTTCACATCAGAAGGAACTTCGCTCCAGTTGCAATCTTGTACTTCAAACTCCTGCTCACCATACTCGGTTTGTCTCGGATTCTTTTACACTCACAGCCATAAGACTTTGGAATGCACTTCCTTTGAATATCCAGAATGTGTCAAACAGTTTCGTATTTAAAAGAGAAGTACGAGAATATTATCTCCAATCAATTCGTGTGTCCTAGTCTTCATTTATCAGTATGTTTATATTGTATGTTTATATATATATATATGTTTATGTATTTTTTTATATAAGATTATAGTGTGTATGTATATATTTGTATTTTAAATATAATTTGTTGATATTATTAGTTATAAATTGTAATTTTGTTCTTTTATGATACCGCCTTTTGAATGCTCTGTACACCTTCACCGGTTTGACTGGTAGAGAATGCCTTTTTGGCATTAAGTTCGCCATTGCTATGTTATAGGCATAAAGATTAAATAAATAAATAAAAAAAAGAGCAACTTACATGTTTTTTTCATTTCTGGAACTTTAATATAATAATTAAAAATTACAAAGTTGATTTTGATGATATATACTGTTCGCCAAGTTAAAAACTAATAAAAAAAAATCATCGGGATTTGTCTAATTATCGAGTGCCATTCATTTAATGGACAGATATACTACATGCATGTATAAAAAAAAGTACATTCTTTTTCGTACTTATGTCTCATCCATCTGTAGGTTGACAAGCTGTAAAGTGCGAGCCCTGTCAACAAATATAAATGAGTCGTAAAATGTTTATGATATAGAAAAAAAAAAACAAAAAGAAAACCTTAAAATGTATCGATATAAAATAATAAAGTATTAGTACATTGTGGCACTACGCACCACTTGCAGCTCATTTTATAAAGAAAAGTAGAGGAAAATAAAAATCGTAAAAAATACGCATTACGACTTCAATTTCTCTTCTAAATTATTATTTCAATTTACTATAAAGACAGTTGTTACTTATCGATTTGACATATTTACTGGCCTGTGACGTCACGATCAGCGCCATCACATAGAGCAGCGTTTTTCGCGCGATTTTGGCTATTTAAATTTTAACAATTATTTTCACCAAAAATAGAAAAGATTCCAATGAAATATAATGACAGTGTGTTTATAATGTAGCAAACAACGATTTCTTCTTCTTTTATTAATGGCTTATCTGCGCATTTCGCACAATTCTGCCAATGTCAAGTGACTAAATTTCTACATGTAAAATGAAAATGAAATAATTGAAAGATGGCGATGACGACAAAAAAAAATCCAAACAACGATTTAAAATAGTTTTCAGATATGTGCCAAATACCCAATTCATGGCGTTAAACCAAAGAGAAGAGAATAGAAATGTCATTGTTGTTATGGATCTGATAACTCTGATTAATATCGAGTTGAAATTTAATTAGTTCGAGTTCTGCAAACGCAACTCGATTGATACAAAGTAATCTTTGAATAAATTTCTTTTTTATTTGTATAGAGGAAAATGGAAACTAACTTAATTGAAGTAAGCACACACGTTTTTTTTAAATCAATTGAATTAATGCTGTGATATTATTAAAATTAGTATTTAGCTACGGTATACAATAATATTATCGTCAAATGGTTTTATAAATAAAATACTTATGCCATAGTAGGTCTAGGAATTTTTCATTATAATATTTAACTAAAGAATCCATAATTTCCAAATTTAATGCTCTAGCTCCGAGCATAAAAATTATATGTAAACAGTCACTTTCACTTTTAGGGTCTCCAATTTGTGATGAATATTTCAATCAGTTCACTGAACAAAAAGTAATAAAATTTAAGTCAGTTGCTGATCGTTTTCTAAAAATTAATAATCAAATGGCTTTCACAATTATGCGTTATTGTCTGTTTTTTCCTCAATTTACCTATGTTTTATGTTCAGCACCTTTTTGAAAACACACAAACCTTACACTTTCAATGGACAAAGCAATAAAAGAAATTGTGTCCACTATACTTAATATCGATATTAGAGACAAAATTTGGGACCAGACTTCTCTTCTTATACCAGGGGTCGGCAACCTTTTGAGTCAAAAGAGCCAAAAGTTACAATTTACAACATTTTTAAGTTTTTAAGGAGCCACAAAATGTTTTTATGCCTACAATAAATAAGTAATGTAGTCCTACTCTTACTGACATCGACTTACTGCGCAGGACTTTGCTTATTGTGACCAACTAGGTTTCGCATTCTTAGAGTTCACTCTCTCTTCCTTCCACTCTCTATATCCGATGGGACGGTTGACCGACACGACCGGTGAGAGTTACAACACTAATTTGTACTTCAATAGCCTCGTCCAGACTGAGCGGGTGTAAAGCGGGTACAAGCAAAGACTATGTGGCTGAGAGATAGAAGTGGTGCCGAATCCTTGTTTATCGATTCAGAAAGTTTTAAAATGATTTTTTTTTATATAAAATAAATAATATTTGTGTTCGGAACTAAAGAGCCGCAGCTTCTCAGCCAAAGAGCCGCATGTGGCTCGCGAGCCGCAGGTTGCCGACACCTGTCCTATACGCTTCGGAGGTTTAGGTTTACACAAAATTTCTAGTGTTGCTCTTCCAGCATTTTTATCTTCGGTCCATAGCACCTATGACCTGAATAAAAAAATATTGTCTAAAATATCTTCAACTGCTGCTATCTCCAATATGGCCGAGGCAAAAACTGCTTGGGAGATATTATCTGGAAGTGATTTTCCAACAGTAATGGCAGCTCAAAAACATTGGGACGAGCCGCTCTGTAAATTGGTACATAATAATCTATTAAACACGTCTGCCAATTCTGCAGAACATGCTCGTCTCTTAGCTGTCGCTGAGTGGGAATCCGGTCTTTGGTTACAAGTCTTGCGGTCATCGACTGTTGGAACACTTCTAGATAATACAACTTTTCGCCTTTCAGTTTTTCTTCGCCTGGGGGCAACCTGTAATCTCCCCCATCTTTGCCCTTGCGGTGAAACGGTGGACTCTTTTGGTCATCACGGCTTATCTTGTAGCAGAAGTGTTGGTCGTATCTCTCGACATGCAAGTGTCAATGATATCATCCGTCGAGCTCTTGCTGCGGCGTCAGTGCCAGCCATTCTAGAACCGAACGGGCTGACTCGCGACGACGGTAAGAGACCTGATGGGATGTCTTTGGTACCTTGGAGGATGGGTCGACCCCTAGTATGGGATGCCACCTGCGTTGATACTTTGGCGCCAACTCATCTTCCACGAACATGTCTTAAGGCGGGTGTAGCCGCCGGTGCTGCAGAAAGCCACAAACGGCGAAAATATTCAGGTATAAGTAATACCTACATATTTGAGCCGTTTGGGGTCGAAACGATGGGTCCGTGGGGCCCTGGAGCCTATCGTTTTTATCAAGATTTAAAAAAGAAACTTTTTGACAGGTCAGGTGATCAGAAGGCTGGTTTGTACCTCGCCCAAAGAATTAGTTTAGCTATTCAAAGAGGTAACGCTCGCAGCCTTCTGGGTACCTTACCTTAGGCAATGATCTGGGAGACATTTTTAATTTAGTTTAGTTATTATTTTAAGAAATAGTTTAGATAAGTAAGCGCAGACTAGTTGCTTAAGAGCTTTGGAGCTAATTCGAGTATTCCCATAGGCGCCAAGCTAAAGCGTCAGAGCGTGCATTGCAGACCTTATGCAGCCGCTTTGGAGCCAAAGGGGCACAACTTTTTGCAACCTACAGTTCCATTATAAGTTCATAATAGTGGCATAAAAGCGCTACATGAGCTGCAACTAATAATAAACACCACACTAAACCTCTTGAGGTGCTTATTGAATGAATGACGGATTTAACTGAACGAATAAAGGATCGCTGATCATTCACTTTGTCTCTCATTTATTAAATACATCTGTTGTTCCTGAGTCAGACATTACTGAATACAAATTAATAATAAGTGAAGTGAAGGTAAGTATTTTTCAGCTATATTTTGTATTATATGCAAGTGGCTAAAAACGCAGATCAGTCTATCGTGCATATAGTTGATATTATTGGAGTATTTTTAACGCGCCTCAATAATTACCTCAGAATATCCTAAAAATGTAAAATAATATTATTTAAATAATATTATATCACATACCTACACGATATCGAAATTACATACCTACTTGACTACATTTGTATTAAGTTGCTGGTTCTATATTTAGTTATATTTTACTACAAATGGTGATAAAAACCTATAAATGTTTAAAATAAAGATAAATAAATCTCTTGTAAATATGGCGTCTATCAGAAGCAGCTTTAACTTGCAACTTCAACCTTAATACTTCCTCTCTGCGCGTCTAAGTGTTAAGATTCACTCTTCTGAAGGTCCAAGTAATACCTGTACCGCTAATGCAGTTCAAGTCTTTGTAATCACTTTTATTTCGTACTTACTGCAGGTATCAAACCACACTAATAGTTATTTGTTTAGAGATCCGTAGAACTCGTTGAAAACCCGAACATACGATAATCCTTTGCAGCTGCTTCAAAATTTTTCGCTCTTTTAATTGTTTAACACTTACTACTCTAACTGGTTTTCAGAATGCCTTTCAAAATTATTCAAACTTATAATGAAAACAAAAATAAACAAGAACTTTGCATCTGTCCATCTACGTGGGAGGAACATGGAGTGTTACACTGGCCGAACAAAAAAAGTTAAAAGTTATGTAAAATAGAAGATTCAACTCCACAACCAAACTGATCTAAAATAAATTGCATTGTAAAAAGAAACAATATTATGTCGTACGAAATTGCTGACAAGCAGTTGACAGAAATGTTAGATTGTTCGACAACAGAACATGAAACCACAGCGCTCTCGCCAAACCTTATCGGACCAAGCAACCAACTCGAAAATTTCAACATTATAGCCCAACGGGTACAATCTTATTAACTTTGCAAAGAAACATGTTGATTTTTGTCTTTTTCGATTCACCATGTCAGACACATTAAAAGGAACAATGTTGTTCAAATATTGTTCATACTATTGTTATTTTAGAATTTACCTAGTTATGGGTCTATTTGCTAATAAAACAAGTTGATTAATCTCAAATATTTTTTATTTCAATTCACCAATACAACAACAGGCGATTCCATTGTACTAGTTACAATGTGTGTAGTAAAGGAACAAAATATAAATCAGATTCATATCGAGTGACCACAAGTTTACATTTAACATCAGACGGCGAACACACGTACTCTGAACTTAGAACTGATTAATAGTTGCTTTTGAAAATATTTAGATAAGAGGAGAAGATGGGAAGGTCAAAAGCATTTACTAAATTATCAAATTTCTTACAATAAATATATATTTGATTTTCTTCAACTTTGATACATATCACCTCCATTACTTTTTTATTAACAGTTAAAAAATATTAATCTGACCTTTGATTTGATAAAATAAAATAATTGAAATGTAAAACTAAATTCTTTCTGCTTTTTTACATACGGGTAATTAGAATGTGTCTGGTCAATAAATTGTTCATGATCCAAACTTTCGTACTCTTTAAGTCTTTTAGCTATTTGGGATAGTGGTTTATTACCTTGTCTTAATAAATTTTTTATTAAGTATAATTTATTTTCAAATTTATATGCATTGTATGTTTGTAACATTCCGAAATGTCGAACTTCAGCAACAACATGAGTTAAGTTATGAACGTTGCTAGTTATATAGTCAATACCGTAAAAATCTTTATAATGTTTCGTAAAGTATTCCAAAAGTTCCTCTGCCAGAGGTAGCAATGGAAAGTATTCCTCACTAGAACATATTGTCATTGCACAAAGTAATTTAAGAAAATGTTGCATAGCATCTTTCTTTAACACTTTTTGTTATATCGCCACATAAATAATGAAAGAAAGTTCTAAACTCTGATCCTTTCCAATGACTTAAAGTGTCCAAACTTCGAACAGCTCTATGGACCATGGATGTGTTGGAGTTTTGCAGGAGTTTAAGAAAATATTGACTGCGTAGATATCACTCGAACACCATTTAGTAACCTTTGATAGACGAAGCATAGAAGGTTACTTTATTTTTAAAATATGCCACACCAAATTATAACTTACTTTTCCTCAGTAACTGGTTCGTTATCACTAATTGAGAAAATAAAATCTACGGGACCCTCGCTGGTACTTGTTGAACTCGAACTTGGCGCATTATTTTTGTTTGTTTCCAATTAATCCCTTAAAAAATTAGTTAAATTAATAGAGTTTTATAAATGAAAGCTTAATCACTCTCACGTATTTTAGTAAAAAAACTTACGTTTTATTTAATATTTCAATTACAGGATTCTCACACGTTATTGTTTTTTTTTAATTATTGAATATTCTGATAAACTCTCCGTACTTTCTTGCGATATCCACCAGTTCTTAGTTTGAACTTCCATGCTTTCAGATCCATATATCTTTTAAACTAGCTCAAAAATTTTATAAAGTGTGATTTCTCTAACAAAAACAGCAGAATGTATCCAAATGAGTAGGCAATGTCCATTACGCTCCTGCTTCTATTATGAAGCCTTATGTCGCTATTAGTAAAACAGTCGATCAAATTGCTACTTAAGTCTGCGCAAAAGTACAAATTACTTCTGCAATGAAATTTTTAGTGGCAGAACGGTGATAAATAGATCTTTTTTACAGTTCCGTTAAAAAGACTGCAATTTAAGTCTATATGCAGTTCTGAAGCGTACAGCAGCGGCAACAGAAGCTTTTTTGCAGCAAATGGTTGTAAAATTCTTAAAATTCTAAAATTGTAAAGCTCTTATAAAACCTAAAGTGGCATTAGGTTCAGTTTCTGCTACCCCTAGTGAGATTTATAATTATGAGCAGCAACGGAAGCAATAGTAGAACTTAAAACCACTTTCTGAACCCCTAAAGCGCTACTATACAGCTAAAAGTTGCAAAATAGGCTGCTATTTCCGCTCAACTGTGATTTTCTTCCGATTTTTTCGTGAACACAGAAACAAATAATTAACAATTTTGACTTGTTGAATAGTGAAGAATAACTCTTGGTATAGAAATTAGTGGCTCAACTTTTTGGAAATTTTGCTCATCTTTTTAATTAAATCCAAAATACCAGAGAAAGTTTTTCATAAAATGCGCAAAGACACTTTTTTGAAGTCCTGGATTGAGCTACTGTTCTTAACAAACGAAATAAAAGAAATAGAATGATATCTCTTATATAGTCGTAAAGTAAACAGTAGCTCGAAATTTTGAAATAGCACTGATTAAATATAGAAAAACAATTATATTATAAACCAAAACACATCAAAAATTGCTTGAAGTTAACTTTGAATTTCTCTTAGCCACAACAATATTATTTAACAAAGTTTATGCCAGATTAATGACTCTTTCATAAGGAACAAAGTTATTATAATTTTAAAGCATAAATTTATTATATTATTTCAATAAATACGATAAATGTAAACGCAAAATCACTACAAAATAAGATGCAGCGGCCGTCTGAGCTCAGTACCGCGCGAGCGCTCCTCAACGTTAGACCTGTGTCGCATTTCTTCGCGCCATTTTTCGATCTAGATACGTTCGAGCGAGCGTAAATAGAGCAGTATAGTGGGACTTCCAACTTTGGTCACGAAGTTCGATTTATATGGAATTTATATAGCTTATTGAATTATTTCTAATACACATTTGTTATTTTCAGCATAGGTCGAAAGACCCCTAGGTATATTTGTATAAGAAAGTTAAAATATATATTTATATTATGAAATGCAAATAAAGCAAGGTACTTCTTCTCTCAATACACTTATACTAGTACATAAAATTGGAGTGCATATTTGTAATATTAAAATAACCGCTTTTCACTAAATACATTTGTGTGTATACATGGTACATATACAAAAATAATATATTTTATCTGTCTGTCTGTTAGTTCTGGCTAATCTCTGAAACGGCTTGGCCGATTTTGAAGAGACTTTCACTAGAAGTTGACTTACGTAATGAGGATTAACTTAGACTTATGGCTCGATGCAATTCGACCGATATCAAATTTATCGGAGATCCGCATATGAAACAACTTTTTCTAAATTCAATATATTTTTAATCCCGGTCGCAAAAACGACGCGGTGTTATAAGTTTGACATGTCTCTGTGTATGTGTGTGGTGTGTTTGTGTCTTTTTGTGGCATCATAGTTCCCGAACGGATGAACCCATTTTGATTTTGTTTAAAAGGTGTATTAGTCGGGAGTGTTCTTCACTTTGATGAAAATCGATACAAGATGGCCGCCGCCACAAAATGTCGGATCACATATTTTATCACCATTCCATCAATATGGGTATCAAATAAGAGGGCTTGAGTAGTAGAATACTGAACACTATGACAAATTTCAAATCCAAGATGGCCGCCACCAAAAATGTTGGATTACCTACATATTTTTCACGACTCCCTCAATACGGACATTAAATAAAAGGGCTTGAGTAGTAGAATACTGTTTACTATGACAAAATTTTATATACAAGATGGCCGCCGCCACAAAATGTTGGATTATTTATTTATTTATTTATTTATTTATTTTGTACACACATACAATTTCATATGAACAAATGTTACAGACATTAGTACAAGGGCACTGCTTATTTCAAATTGAAATTTCTACCAGCAGGCCCAAAACAGGAAAAAGAAATACAATAAGGTAGTCAGTGTGTACCTCCTAAATAAATTAATATGGAATAAAAAAAACAAATTCAAATACCGGGAAAGAGAGAAAATAAAAATACATAACGGTTCAAACATTATATAAAGATTAATAATACCTACACTATCCAATATCAACAACAGGAAAGATAATAATCCTTTACTCTTTTTTTGAACACAGAAATAGTGCGACGGTCACGTATATCGGCAGGCAAAGAGTTCCAGAGTCTAGCAGCATGAACAGTGAAGGAATATGAAGCAAAATCCGTTTTGTGTGAAGGAGTTTGAAGACTTAAGGTGGGATCTGCAAAGAGCATCAGGAAAACGGAGAAAGGAGAAACGCTCACGCAGATAGGAAGGATAGACGGGATTATACAGGATGTTGAACAGAAGACAGACAATCCTGACATATCTACGCTGACGAATGGGAAGCCACATGAGCTGCTTACGTAAATGTGACACATGATCATACTTACGAAGACCATAAATAAATCTAATCGCTAGATTTTGAAGTCGTTCAAGTTTGTTTAATAACTCCTCAGTGGCATCCAAGTAACATGCATCTGCATAGTCAAGAAGAGGTATAATTAAGGATTGTGCTAGTAACACTTTAGTTTTAAAAGGTAAAAAGTTTTGAAGGCATTTAAGTGTGTAAAATGAGAAGAAGGTCCTACGACTAACCTCAGATACATGGGCAGTCCATGATAGATTTGAATCCATTGTAATTCCAAGATTTTTTACAGTGTCTGTTAACTCGATCTGAGTCCCATCCAAAAGCAGGGGTGGGAAAGATAATGCAGAAATAGAATTAATATTAAACCTGTTACCTATCACAATGGCCTGAGATTTACTCGGGTTAAGCATGAGGCCAAACGATTTTGCCCAAGTACTAATGCTATCCAAATCGTTATTAATAGCTACCAGTGCCGAGTTACAGTCTTCTATTTTAAAGTGTCGATAAAGCTGCAAGTCGTCTGCATAGAGGTGGAAGTTGGAAGATATAACTTTAGTAACCGAGTTAATGAAAATAGAAAATAAGAGAGGTGAGAGAACAGAAGGAGAGATATTGCAAGAACGAAGAATAGCGAGAAGAATGTCAAAATCGACGAATGACAGAATTAAAAGCACTGCTGAAGTCTAGAAGGATTAGAACTGTAAGAGCTTTATTCTCCATAGCCCAACGAATATCATCAGTAATGTTTATTAAAGCTGTTACAGTACTGTGACCAGGGCGGAAACCAGATTGGTACCTATTCAAATAGGAATTAGAAAGAAGAAAAGTTGATAATTGCTTATGAACAATATGCTCAAGAAGTTTAGAGAGAAGGGAAAGAATAGAAATAGGACGAAAATGAGATGGGACTGAAGGATTAGATACTTTAGGCAGTGGAATAATGTGCGCCATCTTCCAAATTTTGGGAAAAGAACCGGATTCAAGTGAGAAGTTAAGTATGTGAACAAGTATAGGAAGGAGAAAAGATAAAATAGGGGTAAACATTCTTACGCTTAGGTTGTCCTCGCCAGCAGCCTCGGAAGAAATGGCTTGAATGGTATTTTTAATGTCAGTTTCGGATATTTTTGAAAAGAAAAAAAATGTGCAGTCTGGCCTCGGAACCAGTGAAAGTTCTGCGAGCGTAGAATCCTTTATGTCACCATCGATAGTAGAAGGAGGAAGGGAGAAGTGTCTGTTAAGGACGCTTAAATCTACATTGGTAGACACAGTAGCAGTAGATTTCCCCACTCCTACAGAGCGCAAAAACCGCCAGGCATCAGTAGGATTGCGATCAGTAAGAGAGCTATGGAAGAAGCGTCGCTTAGCATCCCTACACATACGACTGCAGCAATTTCGAAGAACCTTAAAACGAATAAGATTGCGGTTAGTTGGACGTTTCTTATATGCTCTTTTTGCCTTATCTCTTTTTTGACCACCAAAAAATTGACCACCCATCCAATTGCCGGCCTTTGCAATCGTCGCTTAACCTCGAGCTTTTCATTTGTTTATATACGGATATTGCCGTATTTTTTTGTAAAATTCAATATATTTTGATGATATGGTAAGTATGAGCAAATAAATCGTTCCTCGATATTATTGAACAGAAAATCAAAAGCAGATCGAGCGTTCTACCACCTTCATACATTTGAAGTGATACCGCAGACCATG